CACGAGGAGGAGTAAGTAATTTGTGCCGACGAGGAGCTCCGAAGAACCGTGGAAACTTCCTGTAGTCTCCGTTGTAGTCCCTTTTGTTGGTTTTGGGGTCATAACCAAATATATTTGGTTAGACCAAATTGAGGAGTTATAGGGTGGAGAGAATCATTGGGTTAATGCATGGAGAACTTCAGCATCCAGGGCTTCGGGTTCATGTTGTGAGCCCGGCCTCGCCGACCCATCCCAACGATCAAGCTTCAGACGTCGGCACACACATGGAGCAACATAGTGCATCAGACAGGCTGAAAGGACAACTCTCATAAGGGTCTATAAGGCTCATAGGGCTTATAGGGTTTGTAGGGTTTAGGATAGCTTGCGGAATAGGGTTTAAAGGGTTTAGGATCGCTTGCGGATGGCCTCCCATTTTTCTTCGCCGGGCACCCAGCTTCGAGACACTAGCCCCACTCTCGCTGCAACTCGATTCGATAAAGCTCGAGCCTTCTGAGGCTTGCATTTCCGCTATGTAGATCTCGAATCGGTCTGCTTGCCTTGCCCACAAAGTCTTCGTCGTTCGCCGTGGCGTAAATAGCAGGGTTAAAAGTGTATCCCCGGGCCAAGGCTAGCTCACCCTGCAGCCGCAGATGAATGTGTTTCCAAGCGTGAAGCTTCGGAACGAATCTGTAAACCAGTACTCCTGATCTGTAAGCCCATAGTGCCAGCTTGTAGTAATCAGATAAGAAAGTTTGCAACGATTGTTCCACTTGCTTGGCCAAGCTGTCACGAAGCCATTGTCGACTCGGAGACGTGTAGCCTGGAGAGTAAGGGTGGTTTCGGGGGTCTATTTCGGGCGGGGTTTCCTGTAGCCCTATTCGCCTAAAGAAAATCATTCTGAACAATATGGACACTGAGTTACAGAGCCTTATGTAGACATACAGCCAGTAAGGTAGACATTGTGCTTGCCAAGAAGCACAAATGATAAAAGCTGCTCAGTGCCACGATGGTTGAAAGCATCAATCCCAGGATGCCTGTGCTGTCGTCCCACGGAGGTCCCGAAAGATAATCTTCCAACCATTTCAGGATCAAATACGAGTCCGAGGCCTTGAAGCTGCAATCGGGATATCGAGGACCTTTGAAATTGAAGTTTTCACGAGTCCAGTGCTTTGCAAAAGGTGTGCTGTGACGTAGGTGGCAGTAGCTTTTGAAAAGCTGGTATGCATTCGCTAGTTTCCCATCCAGACTTCGAACAGCTTTGCCACCGAAGTGCCCAAACACCATGGCCAAAGAAATGATACATCCCAGATAAACATCACGACAAATTCCAAGGTGACCCAAATGGAAGATGTCTGGGCGGATAGCTTCAGGCCTGCCCAACCCAGGGACGATTGATATTTCGGGCGGCGAGCTTGTATCCCACGGTACAGACACACCCATTGTAGGAAGCCAGCTTGGGTTCTGCGAGACCTCACCTGCATCATCCTTTTTGCATAAACACAAAGGGCAAATGTCAGCGGCAGTGAAGTGCCGCTTCAGCTTGTAAAGGTGCCCTTGAAAAGGCATGTCCCCAACCACACCAGTGAATACGAAGCGTAGGCGAACATCACCCCCTGGCCCAGACCACACAATGCCTCCCAATCCGTACTGAGAGAAACCCTTTATGGAATCTTTGAAGCTTTGAGAAATCTGCAAAATGGTATCGCCTACTCCCTATAAACCCTAGACCCTAAACCCTAAACCCTAAACCCTAAAGGTTTTCTCTCTCTCTCTCTCTGTGCATATATAGTCTCCATTGTATAGTTCC